ATAAAATAAAATAAAAAAAATAAAAAAATAAAAACCATAAAATGACTGTATTTGAGACACTGTTAGAAGTATGTGTAAGGATGGGGATGGGAGGAGGTGTTTAAGTAGCTAGAACTGAAAACTCAGGAAATAGTACTTGAAGCATATTATTTAGAAATATGGACGTGACTACCCAAAGAAATAGGTAACAATAGTAAGTTCCTATTTCTGAGGTGTAAAGGATAAGGAAGGCTGGGCACAACCACCATTTTTATTTATATGTCATGCAAATTTATTTGAAATAGTGTTTTAAGACCAACACATTTTAATACCCTCCCCCAAATAAATAGAAAGTACGAAAGTCTATTTCTGTTCTATAAATGGCAGTAACCTAGATGATATAATAATAAAAATACTGATACAATAATTATATTATTTGTCTTAACAATTAAAAATATGAAACGCATTAAAGTAACTGCAAGAAAAGATTGGAGAGAATCCAAAGAAGACAAAACTTGAAGGAATCTTACATTACAAAAAAAATTTTTTGAACTGGCTGTTCCCTCTGTCTAGAATGCCATGCCCCCAGATAGTTGACTGACTTGCACCTTTCCCAGCTTCACGCCCCCCTGCTAAAATAGCACTTCCTCACTGAGGCCTCTCCTGATCACCCAGCACACAAACATACTTCCTGTCAGACATACCCTGCTTTGTTTATATCCACAGGTTTTATAAACTCTGACATAGTATGTTTTAATCTTTGTTCTTGTTGTTGGTTTTTTCATTGTCTTTCTGTTCTCTTTAGAATGTAAAACCCTCGATGGCAGGGATTTTAATCTGTTTTGCCACTCCTGTTTTCCCAAAATTTAGAGCAGTGTCTGGTAGACCATAGGCATCAATAGATATGTGTTCTAATGAACACTGACTTGTGATAAATTAGACACAATAAGAAAAACTGAATAGTGTAGGAATTTCAAATTTTCCCAAATGAATTTATAGATGTAACAAAATATATATCACTTCTCCACGGGAGTTTTTGTTGGAACTTGTCAAAATATGTCTCAACTTCAGAGTAATTAGTAATTAGTATAGTAGAGGGAGCAGGGAACTGTCAAGTCTATGGTGGCTAGTACCGTTAAATCAGTGAAAATAAAGATACTTTGAAAAATAATAAAATAGGATTTACCAACAAAATGTTTAAATATAGTGTAAAATAGAGTAATTTTAAAATCAGTTTGCATAAAAATCCACTGATAGGTAAATGGAACAGAATATGCAGTATTGAAGACAACATCATAAATATTAGCAATACCGACAGGTTAGTCATAAAAAGGTGCAGGAAGCAGTGGGTATTTGGGAAATTTTTGTTAGTTACAATATATACTCCTCCCCCCAAATTCCAGAGGTTTAAAATATGTTAAATAACAATTTTTATA